AAACGCTTATTTACGGAGTTATTAACGATTTTAGATTTTATGAGTTTTCTTAGTAAAAATGGATTTTTGGTCAGTAGTATGAGTGATCACAGATCGAGCTTATTTTCTCAAATAAACGCTTATTTACGGAGTTATTAACGATTTTAGTTTCTATGAGTTTTCTTAGTAAAAATGGATTTTTGGTCAGTAGTATGAGTGATCACAGATCGAGCTTATTTTCTCAAATAAACGCTTATCTACGGAGTTATTAACGATTTTAGTTTTTATTAGTTTTCTTTATGAAAATGGATTTTTGGTCAGAAGTATGAGTGATCACAGATGGAGCTTATTTTCTCAAATAAGCGCTTAATTACGGAGTTATTAACGATTTTAGATTTTATGAGTTTTCTTAGTAAAAATTGATTTTTGGTCAGTAGTATGAGTGATCACAGATCGAGCTTATTTTCTCAAATAAACGCTTATTTACGGAGTTATTAGATTTTATGAGTTTTCTTAGTAAAAATTTATTTTTGGTCAGTAGTATGAGTGATCACAGATGGAGCTTATTTTCTTAAATAAACGCTTATTTACGAAGTTATTAACGATTTTAGTTTTTATTAGTTTTCTTAGTAAAAATGTATTTTTGGTCAGTAGTATGAGTGATCACAGATCGAGCTTATTTTCTTAAATAAACACTTATTTACGGAGTTATTAACGATTTTAGTTTTTATTAGTTTTCTTAGTAAAAATGGATTTTTGGTCAGAAGTATGAGTGATCACAGATCGAGCTTATTTCCTCAAATAAACGCTTAATTACGGAGTTATTAACGATTTTAGATTTTATGAGTTTTCTTAGTAAAAATTGATTTTTGGTCAGTAGTATGAGTGATCACAGATCGAGCTTATTTTCTCAAATAAACGCTTATTTACGGAGTTATTAACGATTTTAGATTTTATGAGTTTTCTTAGTAAAAATGGATTTTTGGTCAGAAGTATGAGTGATCACAGATCGAGCTTATTTTCTTAAATAAACGCTTATTTACGGAGTTATTAACGATTTTAGATTTTATGAGTTTTCTTAGTAAAAATGGATTTTTGGTCAGTAGTATGAGTGATCACAGATCGAGCTTATTTTCTCAAATAAACGCTTATTTACGGAGTTATTAACGATTTTAGATTTTATTAGTTTTCTTCATAAAAATCGATTTTTGGTTAGAAGTATGAGTGATCACAGATCAAGCTTATTTTCTCAAATAAACGCTTATTTACGGAGTTATTAACGATTTTCGATTTTATTAGTTTTCTTCATAAAAATCGATTTTTGGTCAGAAGTATAAGTGATCACAGGTCGAGCTTATTTTCTCAAAAAAACGCTTATTTACGGAGTTATTAAAGATTTTAGATTTTATTAGTTTTCTTCATAAAAATCGATTTTTGGTCAGTAGTATGAGTGATCACAGATCGAGCTTATTTTCTCAAATAAACGCTTATTTACGGAGTTATTAACGATTTTAGTTTTTATGAGTTTTCTTTATAAATATCGGTTTTTGGTCAGAAGAATGAGTGATCACAGATCGAGATTTTTTCTCAAATAAACGCTTATTTACGGAGTTATTAACGATTATAGTTTTTATGAGTTTTCTTAGTAAAAATCGATTTTTGGTGAGAAGTATGAGTGATCACAGATCAAGCTTATTTTCTCAAATAAACGCTTATTTACGGTGTTATTAACGATTTTAGATTTTATTAGTTTTCTTCATAAAAATCGATTTTTGGTCAGAAGTATGAGTGATCACAGATCGAGCTTATTTTCTCAAATAAACGCTTATTTACGGAGTTATTAACGATTTTAGATTTTATTAGTTTTCTTCATAAAAATCGATTTTTGGTTAGAAGTATGAGTGATCACAGATCAAGCTTATTTTCTCAAATAAACGCTTATTTACGGTGTTATTAACGATTTTAGATTTTATTAATTTTCTTCATAAAAATCGATTTTTGGTCAGAAGTATGAGTGATCACAGATCAAGCTTATTTTCTCAAATAAACGCTTATTTACGGAGTTATTAACGATTTTAGATTTTATGGGTTTTCTTAGTAAAAATGGAGTTTTGGTCAGTAGTATGAGTGATCACAGGTCGAGCTTATTTTCATAAACAAACGCTTATTTACGGAGTTATTAACGATTTTAGATTTTATTAGTTTTCTTCATAAAAATCGATTTTTGGTTAGAAGTATGAGTGATCACAGATCAAGCTTATTTTCTCAAATAAACGCTTATTTACGGAGTTATTAACGATTTTAGATTTTATGGGTTTTCTTAGTAAAAATGGATTTTTGGTGAGAAGTATGAGTGAACACAGATCGAGTTTATTTTCTCAAATAAACGCTTATATACGGAGTTATTAACGATTTTAGATTTTATGAGTTCGTAGCTTCATTTTCTCATTTTAATTTCTCTTTAAACTTTCCAAAAACAATAAACAGCAAATACAATATGAAACCAATTTCTCTTTACACACTTTAGCTAACTCGTGATTTTCAAACGTTTCGGTTTAAATTGTCTTAATAAATGTTCAATTTTACAAACAAAAATTCAGCTTGTGTAAATATTAAAAAAAAAATATTTGCAAAAAGTTTAATGTAAATTTGTGAAAAAAGTGTTGAATTCAATGCAGTTTGTTTAAGCCACCATTTTATTAACTTTCTCACCTTTTTACACTTTTATTTACTCAAATTCATTTTCTCACTTGTTAATCAATTCTCTATTCAACTTCCAAAAATAACAACAACAAACATGTCCAAATGATATTACATTTTAGGCCATTTAGTTTTCGCGTAATTTTCAAACGTATCGGTTGTGTTTTTGTAAATGGTCTTAATAAATCTTAAATTTTATTAGTAAAAAATTAAGCTTGTGTAAATATTTTTGCAGAAAAATATAATTTAAATAGTTCTTAATCATAATCCAAAATAATATCTTTAAAAAGTTTTATATAAATAAGTGAAAAAAGTGTTTAAATATTAAACAGATTGCAATTTCATCTAAGCCGCCATCTTGTTAACTTGTTTGCTTTTAAACTTTTTTTTCTGTAATCTCATTTGCATTAATCTCTTTACGAGTTAATACTCTCTCTTTTAATAAACTTCCAAAAATAACAACAACAAACATAAGTGAATTCTATCACTTGTTCTTTATGTTTTAGTATATGGTCTTAATAAATCTTAAATTTTATTAGTTAAAAATTAAGCTTGTGTAAATATTTTTGCAGAAAAATATAATTTAAATAGTTCTTATTCATAATCCAAAAAAATATTTTCAAAAAGTTTTATATAAATAAGTGAAAAAAGTGTTTAAATATTAAACAAATTGCAATTTCATCTAAGCCGCCATCTTGTTAACTTCTTTGCTTTTAAACTCTTTTTTTCTATAATCTCATTTGTATTAATCTCTTTACAAGTTAATCCTCTCTCTTTTAATAAACTTCCAAAAATAACAACAACAAACATAAGCAAATTCTATCACTTGTTCTTTATGCATTTTAGTTCCCGCATCATTTTTAAACAGTTCGGTTGTGTTTTCGTTAATTGTGCTAATAAATTGAAAATTAAATTATTAAAAAATTGAGTTTTTAAAAATATTTTTGCGGAAAAATATAATTTAATTGTTGCTTAATCATATTCTAAAAAAATATTTATGAAAAGTTTAGTGTAAATTAGAGAAAAATGCATTGCAATTTTTAGCAAATGTGCCGGTAGTTTATTATCTTTTGTTGTGGCCATTCGTACAAGTGCTTGTGTACAAACATTCGCACATACAAATGTATGTGTGTATGTTGTTTTGATTTTTCATGTTAGTTTGTTTGATGTTATTTTTGTTGTAATTGAGAAGCAACAAGTGAGTAAACAAGTAGTAAATTTGACAATGCATTTGCCAGTAAGCTAAAAGAGCACAAGTTGATAATAAATTGAGAAATGTCATTAATGTAAAGTAAATAATGTATGTGTATAAAATGTGTAGGTGTAAAAAGAAATGCAAATATGTATATTATTATGTCAAGTAAAGTAATTAGAGCTTTTTAGTTAAATTAAATTCAATATAACTAAATATTGACAACAAAAATTTCTTTTCCAAAATAAAAGTTAAAATTTTAATGTAAAGTATTATAAAAAAGTGTTACCATATTGAAAATTGTTGTGACGGTTGTCAAATACCGTTTGTTTTGTTTATTGAGAATAATAAGGAAATGGTTATTGGACTGTTGTTTATTATTTAAGACACTTATTTTTCTTCTTATAGAGGAAAAGGAAATAGTGCAAGCAAGCTTAAGAGAAATTACTAAATATTACAAATAAAGAGAGCATTTTGTAGTATTAAAAATAAGAGAATCATACGTTTGTGAATCCACTTGTGGGGAGTAATTTTATATTACATTTGAAAGATATCATTTTCCAATTTTTAAGATTTTTTTTTAACAATTGTTACAAGCAATTAAATTACTGCCAATTTTGTATTGTTGTTAATATTTTTATATAAAATTTAATTTAATTAACATGCAAATATGCTAAAATGTCAAATTAAAAGAATATAAATTAAAATGTAAAAAAATCAAATCTGCTAAAGAAAGTGCAATAAAAATAATGGACAATTAATGTAATAATATGCGAAAAAAATAAAAGTGGTTAATTATTAAAGAAATGTGTTAAAAAAATATTTAAGGATTTCATCAACAAGCAAGAAAATGTGGATTTAAATGTCTAATATTAACAAACAACAACGACTAATTATAAGGTAGGAAAACCTCATATTATTTCTCCAAATTAACTCTTTTCCTGAAATAAAGGTTTATTTACGCCTATATATTTTATGAGTTTGTTTATTTGCTTGTTTATAGCAAAGGCAACAACCTTCAGTTTTAGCCCAGACAGCAAAAAGTGAATCTGGCAATGCTGTTTTTCTTGTTTTGTTTGTGTTAAAAAGTCGTATGCTTTTAATACTATTTAAATGCAACAATGTTTTTGTTATAATTAATCTGGAGAGAATCTTGTTTTTTGCATATTCCAGTGAAAATAAACAAAATAGAAAAGAAATAATTGTTATTTTATAAAAATAAACAATAAATATTATTATGGAAACTGTGTTATTAACAAATATTAAAAAATTATATGATAATGAATTATACAGCAGTGTTATAACAGCCGTAAGTATAAGCGTGGAAAGCAGCAGACTTGTGGGTCAAATAAGTAATATTTTTATTGTAAATTATTTTTAGGCCAGTTTACTGAATACTCTTCTACAAAATGATCGTTCTTTGGCCACGCCAGAATTGGAGTATCAAGTATTATTGTTTCATGCCAATGCCTGCTATCAGGAACGGCAGTTTCGCATGGCCATAAAACAATTGAATGCTGCCTTGTTGATGCGAAAGTTTATGTGCCGCTATAAAACGTCTCATCTGACGGCCATAGAAACAGCTTATGAGCATTTCAATGAAACGGAGACACGTTATCGTTTGGCCAAATGCCATAACGATCTGGCCGAGACCACTCAAGCCATTAGTGTTCTACAGGCTTTGCCGGCTAAAGCAAGAACACCAAAAGTAAACTTATTTTTGGCTAAATTAATACAATCAGGGGGCTCCAACAGCACAGAAGCTATTTTGAATTATAAAGAAGTTTTACGTGAATGTCCCATGGCCTTGGAGGCCATAGGATCACTGCTGGAATTGGGTGTGGATGGTATTGAAGTGAATTCTTTGGTGGTTAATGGTAAGCTAGTGATTTTGATATAGTTTTCCTAATAATTAATGAAATCACTACCCACAGCCAGCACCGTACCCAAGAACATAGAATGGCTTAGTACTTGGATTAAGGGTCATGCCCAATTATATAGCCGCAAACATTTAGAAGCCTCCAAAACATTCCAAAGCATCAATGAGAAAACTAAGTTCCATCAAAATGAACATTTGATTACTTTAATTGGCAAATGTTTCTATTACTATGGCAATTCTACTCAAGCGCAACATTATTTGGAGACCGCTTACATGTTAAATCCCTATAACTGGGATGCTATAATGCCACTCTCTGTAGTCTTTGAGTATAATCAAAAACTACAAGAGCTCGACAAACTTACCGCTCAATTGACCAATATTCATGAATTTACTTCGGGACATTGGTTTGTTTTGGCACAGAGTTTCTATGCTAATGGTAAATTGGAAAAGGCGGCTTCTTTTGCCAATAAAGCCTTATCCGTTAATGCGCGCAATGTAGAGGCACAATTATTAAGGGGTAAAATATGTTTACAAATCAAACGCCACAAGGATGCGATTTATTTCTTTAGAGCAGCACAATGTATAGCAAATTATAGGTTTGAGGTATATAAGGGTTTGTTTCATTGTTACGTGGGCATGAAGAGAGCCAAAGAGGCTCAAACCATGTGTGCCATGGCGGTGCGTTATTTTCGTGAATCACCCAGGAGTTTGGTGGTAAGAGAAGAAAATAAAATTGTATTTAAAAAATCTAAATTCTCTTCTTCCTCAGATGTTCGCCCGTACACTTATCCATTCTACTCATCCCACGGTTAAGAAAGGTGCCAAAAAAGTAGTTAGCAAAGCTTTGGAAATCGATGAACACTATGCACCCGCTGTAGCCTTAATGGCTGAACTTTGCCACTCGGAGGGTGAGACCCAAGAGGCCATAACATTGCTTAAAAAGCAAGTGGTCAATTATCCCCATTTTAAACTATTCACCATGTTGGGCGATATCTTAGCCGCTGAAAAAGATCTTAATGGTGCCTTGGAATATTATACCATAGCTTTAAGCATGGAACCTACATATCAGCGTGCTTTAGATGGTGTCAATGCCCTGGGCAAAGCCAATTGGGCAAGTAATAAAAATGAACAGGACACCTCAATGGCTTCATCTACCAACCAAGATGAAGAATGGCCCATTGAATGCGATGAACCCTCTATAGAGGCTGTGGAATTTTCATCACCAGCTGTGGCACATGATGATAATGAATCGGATACATTTTCGGATCCTTTCTGGCAGGATGTTGATGCTGAGTTAACAAATTAATTTGATATTTTTGTTGAATTGTTTTTCATTAATTCATTCATTTGTTTGTTCCATTAATACATTTTTCATTTTATTTTTAGTATTTAGTCATTTGCAAAAAAAAAGACTTCCTGTTATACCGTGAGCAACTTTACATTTCCCCCTCTACTCCACAAAATTTCGAATTTATTGAACTGTTTATTTTTTAAGTTATGAATATGATTTAAGTTGTATTGTAAAACAATTCTTTAATGAGAAATAAAAACTACAGTATTTGTTTAAAAATTTAACGATGTGTCATTTAGCGAAGTGCAAGATATTTTTCGAAACCAAACAAATCTTAAGGGTTCTCAACTTTTTTTGTAATTACAGCTTTATTTGCAGCCAATTTTTTATATTGCTATCGTATTCAATTTTAGCTATAATTAAAGAAATATAACTTTTTTATATTTTGTATAAAAATTATGGTTTATTCAAAACATTTGTATTAATAAAATAAACACAATACAACTTAATATAAACAAATTCTGCTCCCAGACCTACTAATGAATACACCAGCAGTTTTTGCTACAACTACTCTCTCTACGTAGCTTCTGCCTCCGCTTCTTTCTCACCATTCTCTGTAGCACTTGCATCCTTCTTACCCTTATCCTTTTTATCTTTCACTACCTTTCGATAGGCTTCCAAATCTTTTGTTAGCGGCTCTACAAAACTCTCAAACTCCAGCTGCTTAAGAGCATCTAAAATATTTGTAGCTGTAATAGTTTTATGATTTTGTTTACGGGCCAATGCGGTTGAAGTAGAGGTGAGGAATATAACAAAAACAGATGCCGCCCGGGCAATGGCTGCTCTAGCTTCTTTGGAAACATTAGCACTATCAGGCAAACCTTCTTTGATGAGACGGGTAATGACAGCGTTGGGTAAATTTAAATCTTCAATGCGTTCAACCATGTTGATGACTTTGTATTTAGTTTATAATTTGTTTAGAAGAAGGTTTTACGCAAACTGTTTAACTTTTTTTCAGCAGGCAGATGTTTATTTAAATTGTTTGCAAATGTTTTGCAAAAGTAGTAGGAATGTTTTTTGGCGCATTAACATGCATTCGAATGTGGTTGTTTTT